ATATGTAAACTCAGTCAGTATATGACTAGCTATGGACTAGGCGACTGGGGTTTGATCCCCGACAGGGGCAGAGAATTTTTCCTCTAGCCTCTGCGTCCAGACCGGCTCTGGGTCCTTTCCTGGGGGTAAAGCGCAGCTGGGGTATGATGCTGACCACTGACTGCCATATAGTGCCGAGGTCAAGAATGAGTGGGAGCTATATCTCCTCTCCCCCCAAGTGCCTACATGGCGTATAGTGGGACAGATTTTATATGTAAACTATAACCAACATTTTGTACCGTTGTATATGTTGGCCAAATGAATTAAATTGAAAAATTCTTGGAGTAGAAGTTGCAGTTTTTTTTTGTAGTGGGGTAATTTTTTCTTTAAATATGTAATACTAGATAAACCCACAAATCCGACACGAGATTTTAGAACACTTGTTTACGGAGCTTCAGATCTTAATTATTTCCTTAAAGAATGATGTGCAGTAGGCTGCCAATGTATGGTTTTATACATCATACCGAGAAGACAGTTCATAAAAATCAAATTTATGAAAAACCCTTCCATTTTTGTGGTTTCGCTTAAAGCGACCAAACCACTTTAGGGACATATTTGAGTCGATTTGAGGAACGTGTGTAAACTATCGTGTTTATACTGTGGTAACAGAATTTGTTTCTTTGATGCACTAGTAGCCTGAATCCGATTCAATTGTAGCTGCCACGGTGTTGAAACAGTGACCTACAGACTTTGTCTGCTCCTTTTGCGGGGGTTACACTTACTCTTACCGCATCTAATCGATCGCGCGAGGCTAACCGGTGCTAGATATAGGTCGATTTTAATCGATTTTCATTCACAGACATTAAGTCAATTTTGCCCTGTCCACCACATCGCATTATATTTTCCTAGGTTACGTTTAATTGTCGCCTCTTCCCATCTCAAGTCTCTGTGACTGATGATCTATTATAATTCAACCGAAATAAATGCTAACAATGTACGAACGTTTGTGGTGATTGATTTGGAAGTGGAACCTTGCCGTGGAACTGAAAAAGATTTGTCCAACAATGCAAACATGTTTCATTTCTGAACATTACACTGTTTTATTATTTATCTTTATATCAACGGTTGCTTGGTATCTGAAATAAAAGTAATGTAATTTATAAGCAATTAAGATAGAATAGAATAAATTTAGTGTCTTAACTAATTTGGTCTACAGTTTGTGTGGTTAAGGGTTGGGGGAAATTCTAATTTTTGCTCTTGTAGCTTTCCATGAGTGCATGATTGTACTTACAATCAAATAATACGGTACTTATAATGTCATTGCATGGAGGAGATAGAATTTGTAAAAGAAAATTTCTTCCTCTTGTTACCTTATACATGATGTAATCGGTTTACGTAACGTCTTCTTACAAACCAAACAGACCACCAGATTTGCGTCACATAGCTAGCCTTGAACACGAAATTGACAGAGGTAAAGGGACAGTATTGTGAATGAGTTGAATAATAACGATTTCAGCACCAGTGAAGTTTCCTATTTTTACACGGTAGCATACAACCCAAAGACAACTGTAAAAGAATATTCACCAACAATCTTTACTGTCTGGTTATTTATTCGTGTTAAAACAGGTTAAAGTCTGTTTTAACTCTAACAATAATGGCCACCAGCGTACATATATGCTGTAGTGTCATTGCAAAGGAACTTTGTGGACACTCTGTGGTGTGATACCGAAGAACCGATAAGTCGATGTAAACTATTTTGAAAAGGAATAACGTTTTCTCGAAAATACTAGCTAGTCCACAATCATCAGTGTATCTCGATGACTAAATTTAGCCTTTAAATACTGTATCTCCCCGTCACCCCCAAAAAATCAATGTTTAGGTAGGTCAGGGAAAAATAAACCGTGGCTTCAGACGTACATACAAGAGATTCGCTGACACCACTGTGGACTCTGGAGTTGAATACCTGAAAACCAGTGTTGCCAGCGCATGCGCCATTATGCAGACGTGTCCCTGAGCTCAAGGAAGACGCTAGTTTATTTACCTGTGACGTATTTAACTACGCTTTATTAGCTGAGGCCATTTTCCGTCGAACTCCAGGATGGCCAACGGATAATAAACTGCGACGGGCGTGGAGTGAAGTGGTCGAGGGCATATTTAAGACAGAAAATGGCTGTCTTCTTAGTTGTTGTGAGGTGTAGTCTGGTGGAAGTTTGCCGACGATGGAGGCAGCAGGCACCTCAGAAGCGTCAGTAAACTTGTATCACAATAAACTTCGCAACAACCCAGAAGAGAACACGTCATCGCCTTTGATGTTGTGCCGCCTAAAGGACCAAATAGCCACTAATTGTCCGGCTTTTACCAACCCATTCGTCAAATGTTCCTTGTTCTAATTTGAATTCCTGTTTGTTACGTTCGCGTCTAGAAAGTTGTCTGTACTCAGGGGAGTATTGTCGGTACTCCAAGAGAATTTCACAGAACGTAGGAGCCGGAGATGGATTATCTTACTGTACGTATGCCCCTATTACAAAAACATTGTACTCCAATAGTGCATTGTGTTTACAAGTAATGTTTTAGGGGTGGACACATGTTTTTGTGAAAGGTTGTAGCGTTACTATTCATTCCTACTGCTTTTGGAACTGGAGCAGATGAATTTATTCGTTTGTTTTCACTCATACAATCGAATTTGAAAACATTTTGCTTCGCCGTTAATTAATTTTGCGTAATATATCACTGTGGCGTTTTGAACATAAAACAATAAGGTAATTGGTTTCCTGAAGATGGCTGTCTTATAGATTGTTGTACTGTGTAAGATGGTAGAAGTTTACTGACAACTTCTTCGAGACGAAATTGCGCAACAAACCAGAAGACAGCCATCTCCAAGAAATTAACTGTATTATAATCTTCCGCCTGTATAAAATGTTAACCCATTTGCTTATAGGTTACCCGGATGAACACCGACTGTATTTTCGAAGATTGTCTCAAACCACACAAACTGATGTTTTGCTTGGTAATTTGGATATGTCCGGATCGGGAAAGGTGATCCTTCGTCCGCTGACCGTACAAGAGCGAATCAGAGAACTAAATCTGAGGGCGAGAATGTTCACTGACACGATATTGGCTATTCAAGATAGCGGACGTTCTCCTCGCCACAGTCCTCTGCCTGGACCAAGAAGTTTACAGGTACCATGCACAATTTTTTATGAAATGTACTGATTTATATTTTCACACTACATCCATGTTGCAGAATGTTGGGTATGTGCAGCGCTGACGTCCATTTATTAAATGTTTTCATGCTGTTCAGTTAATTATGTTACATGTTAGTCAAAATAGTATTTAAAATGAAAATATATATATATATGTCATATATTCATTGCCCTGATGATGGAGGCAGTATGACCTCTGAAACGTTGGTAAACATCGACCAGACTACACGTCGCAACAACCCAGAAGATAGAAATCTTCATACTCTGATGACGGAGGCAGTATGACCTCTGAAACGTTGGTTAACATCGACCAGACTACACAGCGCAACAACCCAGAAGACAGAAATCTTCATACTCTGATGACGGAGGCAGTATGACCTCTGAAACGTTGGTAAACATCGAACAGACTACACAGCGCAACAACCCAGAAGACAGAAATCTTCATATTGGTCAAATTTTATATTTGAGGTCCTTGGTCTCTTGCCCCCCACCTGTTTTATGATCTTTGTGGGAGCTTGAAAAGTTAGCGTTTACGAGTTGGAACTGTAGAGGCAGTAACAGGGCGAATGCACCAGGATGTTGTAGTATATTTTATGTCCATTTTGTAGTGTTCACCGTGGAGTTCGCCGCGTATTCTGAGTCCAGTGGATGTTCGCCATTTCTTAGCAAGTAGATCCACAGAAAATCTATCAGGTCTAGCAAGCCACGGGGGTCACGGCGAATTAGTTGGTTCTCCTATGAGGCGACGATGGCCGCGTAGATCGCTCCGTCGTCCGGGTCAATCCATGAATCACAGTCCTGAAGTGAAGAGAGGAAGTGAAGAAGAAGCCAGAAAAGAAGCAGAAAAGTTGTTACGTGACGGAGAAGACGAATTAAGACTACGTCTTGAGACACTTAGTAATCGAGACAGGCGAGTATAATATTAAAAATTTACAGTTCTATTTGTGTAGAGAAGTAAAAGCACTTGGCTGATGCCGTCTCATACAGCAAGCTAGGTGGCGCCTCTGTAAAAAGGAGTTCCTTGTCGTAATAGTGTTACAATTTCTAATCCTATTTATTGACGAGTGATAAATTTAAATTATTGTTTTATATAGGGTGATAACTGCTCATGAAGCAAAGAGTTTGGTGGCCCTTCTGCACAGCGGCGACGAACTTCTGCTTGAAAGAACACTTACTACAATTGGTAACTGTGGAACATTTTCAGCAAATCAGGTAATAGAAATTGTTTTTTCTTCTAAAGAATTGTTACCTGTAAATTGCCTGCTATATAATATCCAAGTTCGGTTTTGTAATGTCGACATATGACGGAATTATTAACATTTTTTTTATACATTCCCATTTCAAACACTTTTTAAATGTAAGTGAAAAATATTTTTCACTTTCAGGACATTCTTCGTGAAGCTGGGTGTCTGTTTAGGCT